TTCTAGACTACAACAGAGGTATATGTGACTTTTGAGTGGATGTGGTGCTTGGAGGGGACATTGATGTCATGCAAGGAGCTGATGGGAATTTTCTTTAGGACCCTGGGAAAGAAAGAGGAAGTTGTAATCAAGGAAAAAAGAGGAAGTGACCATATGAGTAAGCATCCCTGATTTTGCCTTCTTCCACCTTGAACTACCACCATGAGGTTCTGTAATTGTTTCTAGGGCAAAACTCTTTCAAGTACATCCTTCAGTTTCAAGGAAAAAATCAAAACAACGAATTTTTGCCACCTGTCTTCCTCTATGGCTGGTAGTAAACCATTCATAAGAAATACTGTTAGTCATTTCCTTAATGCATTGTAGATACCATCACCAAAATTACAGATCATTTCACTTTCAGAAAACAAAAGTAGCACTTAAAGTCAGGGATAAAGCCCTTCAATGCAAGCATCCCTGGAAAGGTGAGATCAACATTGTAGAATACAAACTACTACTGATTTATCTGACTTCAGGAAAGAGAAAAATTTATAATGATATTGCTATAGAGTAATGAATCTCTCTGTCTAATATGTCTGGTATGAGTTTGTGTTCTCTAAAGTCAAAGAATGAATTTTAGGAACAACAGAAATTAAGAGCACAATATACTTATTGAGAGAAAGAAAGCTACCTGAGAGAGAGAAGGGGTCCTGAGCGGGATGCCAAACATTGTCTTTCTAGGGAACTGTATAGAGTAAAATCATGTGGTGAAATGAGTTTAAGGTGGGGAAAAACCGGAATTCACAATGCAGATGGGCATAAGATGGGACAGAGCTATGGTAGCCAGTAAGATTATAAGTTCATGTAAAGTTGATTAAATTGGGAACAAAGGGGGAAGGGAGTCACATAGAAAGCAGGCATTCTTAGGCAGCAGTGACTTTTCCCTTAGAGTTTTGGGAGAGTGACTCCTGAGTTCATCAAGATGATGGGAAATATTTAAAATGTCAGTCCTTAGGATAAGGATACTTTTCTTTGAGTGGTGACTCCTGACCTCCTCAGAGTGCTAGGGAACTATTTAGAATATCAGTCTTTAGGATATGGATGAGTTTGCTTATCATTTGTCTTGAGACGTGGCCCATAGCATGAGGTGACAGTCTTCCCCATACTTGCATGGTATCTGGTCTCCTGCATGGACTCCTTGGAGGACCTAGCCCTGCCTCATGCCAATACTATTTAAATAACTCAGGTGCCTGTAACAGTACTGTTTGGATAATTGATTAGAGATGTCTTGTGGTCTGGGTGAATGATCTGGGGATGACAATGTGCAATGTATATACCAGTGTTGCCCCCTGATGAGCATGATTTGAAACTTAATTTTAGTTGATGTGTTCTTTTTTCACCGAAATAAAATGGATTTGAAAATTAAAAGCCTGAGGTAAAGTTCTTCAGTACAAACACTCCTTTGGTCGAGCTGAGTTCACCACTGTAGAAGAATGGCAGCTTCAGAAGTCTCTGCACTACAGTCTATCATTTGGGATCCTCTGTTACAGGGAAGATTTTCTTTCCCTGTTGATTCTTGACTCAGAAGGAGGGCAGTAGAGCAGGGGTCAATCAGCGATGAAGGGGCAGGCTATATGAACTGTCCAAATTTCAGGCCAATGCTGGCTGTGACTTTTGTCTCTTCCGGTGTCTCAGCATGATTTACCTTTTCTGAGTACGATACTGGTAGCAAAACACTTGCTGGATCTCATTTAGTACTTCTGATGTCCTGTGGCCTGATTAGCAAAGAACCTGAGAGATCCTGGAGCCATGGAATGGTGAGGTTGTGGATGGGAGCCCAGAGATAGGGTGGATTGGGTGAAACCAGTTACAAGTATTTAGGAGTAGTTGTGGTCTCTGGAGCCTCAGGTATTTAGTTAGCTTCAGCTCCTGAGGTCCTCCAGCATTGCCCATGGGTCATTCACTGTCCCTTTTGCCTCTTGCTGTTGGCAAGGGTGATTTGGGGTCCCCAGAACCCTGGCTTCATTATGACAGCAGCAGACTCAAGTATCGTCTTTGAAATTCACTGCTGGCCTGGTAACTCCAACATCTAAGGCATTGGAAGGAGCTTGGGAAGACCCTGATTATGATGCTTTTTGTAGCTTGTAGAGCAGTAATGAGCTAGGCCTCTGCTCTCTTTCCTCAGAGTAGCAGATCTGGAATGTCCAAAGTTTATTAATGTCTGTAATGCAGGGCCTCATAGCCAAAATGGCTCAATTTAAACTTGGGTTTTTTTGTATTTGTAGTGATCTCCTCAATTTATAGTATGTTCTCATATTTCCATCCTCATGACAGGTAGTGGCAAAGATCCTGAGAATTCAGAGACATGTAGTAGTGTGCCTCAGTGGAAAAAGGCTTCCCAAACAACTGGTGAACTCCTGTGTATTATACAGATCAGTGCAAAATAATTTCTGAACATACTTAATTATTTAGGTGGCACCCCTGCTCACAGACTAGGTTTGTGAGAACAGCCATAGAGTTTTTAAGTCTGAGAAAAATAAAGCAAATATGAAAGTGTTATCAAGGACAGGGTAAAATTTTATAAAGGACAAATTCCAGAAAGGGCTATCAGTTAAATTCTCATCGAAAAATGCTGAAATTTAGGCATTTGCATGGACATATACACATGATATCCTCTGAATGGAAAGGAATAGGTGTGTAATCTCTGAATTAAGAGCTGATTTAGTGGCTTGGTTGTTCATAGACAGTTTAAATATGGAAATGCTCTGCAATGGAATTTACTAAGTGGTGTAAAGGAGAAGCTCTAAACAGAAATTTTGCAGTGATATCAATAGTTAGGCATGAAGGGTTTCCTGCTGAGGATGGATCAGAGGAGTGTGGAAAGGATGTGCAAGTGAGTGACAGGATTCAGGAAGCGTATAGCAGGACATACAACATAGAGGGTCTTCACTGAAATTCAGGTAGTTCTTAAAGTAAGCGTGAAGTTAAAGTTGGGTTCTGGTTGCTTCATTGAGGTTATCAACAATAGCTCTGGCAACAATCAGTATTTCAAATCCCTGTCAACCCATGAATTTTGTGTTCCATACTTAAGATCTAATTTGGATTATCTCTAATTATGCCTCAGTGTCATGAAGGTAAAATTTGGATTTTTTTTTTGTACCAAGAATCGAACTCATGACCTATGCTTTCCAGGCAGGCGTTCATGCCACTGAGCTAAATACCCAACTACGAAAGTGTTTTCTTTGTTGTATGGAAGAGATCCACATTGTTTCTCAGAAAGTGTTGAATATTGTTAGAATTTTTCCATATTGTATGGCTATAATTTTTAAAAACAAACCAAAGGTGTCTTATGCATTCTCTTTTCAAGTTTCACTTTGTCTGTGGGGTGTCTCAGTCAGGGTTTCTCTATTTTAGACAGCTCTGTAACTTAGGATAGCCCCAAATTCAAGGAAGAACTCCTTCACCAGCCTCCCAAGATATATTGCTTACATCTGAATTGAAAGTGATCGCTTGGTGACAGTGAGCTATAAATTACAGCTTGGGCCTGGTTCCATTTTATATACTTATTTTTTAAAAACAGCATTTTCACTAACATTTGAGTTGTTATTTGTGTACCATATTGGATGTTATTTATGTTTTGTTCTATGAAACCAAATTCATGTTTCAAAATGCTGCTGAAGTATATGAAGAACAAAGTACTCACTGGCCTAAATGAGATTTGAAGAGACATTATCTGCAGCCTATCAAAGTGATTGATGAGATTTTTTTTTCTTTTTTTAAATTTTGAAAGTGGTAAAATATAACAGAACAAGGCAGAATAAGCCCAACTAAGATCATACAGTGAAATTGGTACACAACTTCACAACAGGTTACTGCGATAACAGTAATAGGTAACACAGTACATTTTATTATCTTTATAATAGTTGTTCTTTCAAACACGTATATCAAAATGAGATGAAATACAGAACATTATAGTACTTATCAAAACAGAATATTGAATAGAGCAATACCATTAATCAGAATAGAGCAAAACAGTAATAAAAATATTTGCCTTCAAAGAGGTAGTAGAAGGAAGTCCCCCTTATTTGTTATGGTCTGCTTCCCAGGAGACGCTCAGATTTCTGGTTCCCATTTGCTAACGGGGGGTGATAGGAGAAGAGGGGTAGGGAAGTGGGATGTTTGATTCTAGGCCATGCATCAGTAGGTTCACTATTGCTTAGTAGGGAGACAGGCCTCTTGTTTGGTTTCACAGCATCCTCAGTTCCCACATGGCGTGGATCTCAGGAGCTGCTGCTGGCTCTCCCCCTGGAAGGGCCGCATTCTGCCAGACCACGACCACTTACCAGGGAGAAGTGGTGCTTGCTTGCCTTCCAAGTGTCCTAAATTCCAGCATGGCATGGATCTCAGGAGCTGCTGCTGGTTTGCCCCCTGGATGGGCCACCGTCTGCCACACCGCCACCACTTACCAAGGAAGGGAGGTGCTTGCTTGGCTTCCCAGTTGATTGATGGGATATTTATCTGCCTCTGTGCTTTGTGGATGCTGGTCCTGCAGGCTTCTCACTGTGAGCTCTGCATTAGAGACAGTACACAGGGAATATTGCAGTGACTCAGCACAAGTATCAGTGCTCCTATTTCACTGTTACATTAGCAGTGAGTTGCAATCTATCATCAAATTTGCTGTCTTCAAAAATGTGTATATACACAAAATTAATGACCAAGACATGGATTTAAATTTGAAGAAATCAGTCTTCATTCAGCTGTTTTGTTTGGTTGTATTTGTTTAGTTTTGTTTTGTTTTATTGAGACAAGCTTCTATATGTATATCAGCTGGATTTGAACACCCTGTGGAGCCTAGAATTGCCCTGAACTCACTGAAACCATCATGCCTCAGCCTTTTGAGTGCTGGCATTATAGATATATACCAGCACACTTTGCTTTTGATTCAGATTTGTAGGAGAGAATTTAAGATATCCCAAGCCTGGTGTCTCAACCTTCGTGTGAGAAATATATGTATGATCCTTTAGGAGGTGGTGACCTTTGAGGATGTGGTCGTGAACTTCAGCAATGAGGAGTGGACTTTGCTGAGTCCATCCCAAAAGAACCTCTACAGAGATGTGATGGGCGAAACCTTTAGGAACATGACTGCAATTGGTAAGGACAAAATACTTTTGTCACTCATGCTGTCAGAATGTTGTATGTCACTCATCAGTGCTGTTTCATTAAAAACAATGTGAAAATATTTTTAAAAATAGCTCAGACCTAGACACATTATATCATAACTCTAAACAATATCTATTAATTTGTATGTATTATTCTAATGAGTGCTGGTATTTCTATGTCTACAATTTAGGAGGACTTGGGGATATCCAGGAAGCTGAAAAAGAATGCAAAATTTACTGGAGATACTTAAGGTAATTCGCACTCATAAGGAGAAGGAATGTTCCTGAGTAATTAGTGAGTCCTCAGAAAAATACCACCAAAGAAATGAGGCACCATTCAATTTATTGTCAGTAATATTCTCCGAAGACGTATAAGCTAGGGTATGTATAATGAGTGGATTAAATCAAGAAAATGTATGACATTGCATATAGATGTGTATGAAAGGCATACACTTTTGAGTTTTGACATTCTCCCTTCAGTTTTTCTACCCATATATACATGTGAGTACAACACATTCATCATCTAAAAATTGCTAAGATTGCAATAGAATTTGAAATAAAATGGAGTTCTTGTGTTTCCAAGCCATGCTCTAAAGAATCAGCCATTCTGACTAAAATTCTTAGAAGGCTGGTAGAATGTTAAGTGCACTCATTCTGAGTATCAGTGTGCAGTTGTCTCTAGAAATTGATCCCCTCATACTTGTCCTGGATATATTTTTAAAAATTCAAAATGCACATGAAATACTGATACATGCTTACTCATATACAAAGCAGATCAAGTTGTAATAGATCAGGCCTTGAAGAAGCTTAGCTATCTATCACTGCATTTGTGGAGAAGGAAAATGTTGACTCTCTGTGATTGTGCATTCTTGTAAATCCAGCACACTAGGAATCAGATTTTGCAGAATGGAAAATTCAAGTTCAAACTTCACAGCTTAATGATCAGCGAAAATCTCTTAAAACACATTTAAAAAGCTATAGATTTTATGCTAATAGCTGTTGTTCATTCCCAGCATGGAAAAGAAAAAAATGTGTTACATAATGTCAAAAAATAAATAATATAATGTCATTTGCCATAAGAAATAGGTGGTTCTTTCTCCCATCAATTCGGTGAAATAGCTCAGCTATAAAACCTAAAAGGTCACAGGGTTTCTTTTAGATGAGAAACCAAAATATAAATTGTGGAATGAAATGAAAGAGTTAATAGAGAAAAGTAAGACTGATCATATGGAAAAGGAAACTGCAGGTTAAGGACAGAAGGGAGATTGTGATGGGGAAACATATCAGAATGATGTGTATGTGATACACATATGTACCCATGCCCAAAATGAAGATAAGATTTCTGCATTTCAAAAGGTACCAAATTTTAAGATTTCCAAATGTGTACCAGTCTTTTGGGAATGGTTGTTTTCAACATGTCTTACAAGGCTGTTCTGTTACTTCATGGTCAGAATTTCTTAGCAGGCATTAAAAACAGAACTTGACATTAATGCAGTCATTAAACTGAGACCCATTTCACTGTGAATGTTTCTTTTTTTTATTTAATGTAAGGAAAGACTAAAAAAAACAAAATAAGTAGAAATGATACCACTTTCAAAGTGAAAATAAACAGTAAGAAATCTAAAGACAATGATTACATATGCTGCGCATAGAAATAATTAATGAAATACAAAAGTGAATAGTTAATGAAATACAAAAGAAACATATGAAGTGGGGATTCAAACAGCGAGACTGCAAACAATTTTGTTCAAATCTCCAATAAAAACTTAGTAATATGATTATCAATCTGATACGTGATTTTTTTTTTTTTACAGAAATGACAATCTAGGGAAATCCTATGGACATACATCTTGGAATCAGTGTAAAGAAGTATCCCTTTGTACTGCAGAAGGTAATGTGAATGTGAAAGAAGCAGAAACACACCACAATGTTCAGATATGTGAAAAATATTGCAGTGGAGAGAAATCCTATGTATGTCAGCAATGTGGAAAAGGGTTGACCAAATCTGGACATTGTAAGCAACATGAAATAATTCACACTGGAGTGAAACCATATGTACGTAAGAAATGTGGGAAAGCTTTTAACACATGGGCAAATTGTAAAATACATGAAAGAATTCACACTGGAGAGAAACCCTATGTATGTAAGCAATGTGGGAAAGCTTTTAACACACGGGGAGTTTTTAAGAACCATGAAAGAATTCACACTGCAGAGAAACCCTATGTATGTAAGCAATGTGGGAAAGGTTTTACCCAACATGGAGATTGTAAGCAACATGAAAGAATTCACACTGGAGAAAAACCATATGTATGTGAGCAATGTGCGAAAGCTTTTAAAAGACGTGCATATTGTAAGGTTCATGTAAGAATTCACACTGGAGAGAAACTTTATGTATGTAAGCAATGTGGGAAAGCTTTTATCACACATGGACATTGTAAGGCACATGAAATAATTCACTCTGGAGTGAAACCATATGTATGTAAGCAATGTGGGAAAGCTTTTACCCGACATGGACATTGTAAGGCACATGAAATAATTCACTCTGGAGTGAAACCATATGTATGTAAGCAATGTGGGAAAGCTTTTACCCAACTTGGACATTGTAAGCGACATGAAAGAATTCACACTGGAGAGAAACCCTATGTATGTAAGCAATGTGGGAAAGGTTTTAACACACATAGACAGTGTAAGGAACATGAAAGAATTCACACTGGTGAGAAACCATATGTATGTAAGCAGTGTGGGAAAGCTTTTACCCAACTTGGACATTGTAAGCAACATGAAAGAATTCACACTGGAGAGAAACCCTATGTATGTAAGCAATGTGAGAAAGCTTTTAACACACGGCGAGATTGTAAAATACATGAGAGAATTCACACTGGAGAGAAACCCTATGTATGTAAGCAATGTGGGAAAGCTTTTACCCAACTTAGACATTGTAAGCGACATGAAAGAATTCACACTGGAGAGAAACCCTATATATGTAAGCAATGTGGGAAAGCTTTTATCACACATGGACATTGTAAGGCACATGAAATAATTCACTCTGGAGTGAAACCATATGTATGTAAGCAATGTGGGAAAGCTTTTATCACACATGGACATTGTAAGGCACATGAAATAATTCACTCTGGAGTGAAACCATATGTATGTAAGCAATGTGGTAAAGCTTTTACCCAACTTGGACATTGTAAGCGACATGAAAGAATTCACACTGGAGAGAAACCCTATGTATGTAAGCAATGTGGGAAAGCTTTTAACACACGGCAAGATTGTAAAATACATGAAACAATTCACACTGGAGAGAAACCCTATGTATGTGAGCAATGTGGGAAAGGTTTTAACACACATAGACAGTGTAAGGAACATGAAAGAATTCACACTGGTGAGAAACCCTATGTATGTAAGCAATGTGGGAAAGCTTTTACCCAACTTGGACATTGTAAGCGACATGAAAGAATTCACACTGGAGAGAAACCCTATATATGTAAGCAATGTGGGAAAGCTTTTACCCGACATGAACATTGTAAGCAACATGAAAGTTCACACTCAAGAGAAAACCAGTGTATATAAGCATCATGAGAATTTTTTGAGCACAAGTACATATTGCATAATGCATGAAAAACTTCACACTGGGCAGAAAACTTATATATGTAAGGAATGTGGGAAAGGTTTCAGCAGAAATGCTCATTGTCCAATACATGAAAAAATTTACACTGTTGAGAAACCCTGTTTATGTGAAGCACATGGGAAAGCTTTAACCACACATGGATTTTGTAAAATACATCAAAGACTCCACACTGGTGAGAAACCCTATGCATATAACAATGTGGCAAAGCTTTTAACACATACAGTCATTGCAAAACACATGAAACAATTCACACTGGGATGAACCACTGGCTACGTAAGCAAGTGGAGACACTTTCAGCAGCCAGATTGTAAGTGAAATACATGAAGAAACTCACACAAGAGATAAATCCTATGTGTTATGGGAATAATCAGCACACATGATCATTGTTTTCATTTATCCCTATCAACCTTATGTTGTTCTGCTTTGTGTCATCTTGCAGGGTTGAATAGTTATTTCCTGATTTCTTGTTATTTTGAAAAGATCTTCCCTTTCCTGTTCACTGGCTGCAATCTTGTCTTCGAGGTCTGAGATTCTATCTTCACATTCATTGAGGCAGTTTTTATAACTTTCAATGGAGTTTTTGATTTCACTTTGCATTTGCTTTATGTATTCTGTTTGTTTCTTACAGAGTTCATCCAGGGATTCTATCTTTTTGTTTAGTTCCTCCAATTTTTTAACTGTCTTCTTTAGATATGTTCAGAATCTCCTTCATTTCTTTTAACATTTCGTTTTTTACCTACGAGATTATTTCTAGTTTGAATTTGTTTAATGCTTCCCAAAGTTGCTTCTTTATTTCAGTTACTATTATTTCAGGTATTTCAGTTATGTGGAATGTGTTTTCTTCTATGCACATGACTCCTAGGCTTTTTTGGGATGGGATGAATGTTTGAGATTGCATTTTGGTCTTTCATTTTGTCATTTTGCTGTATTTTCAAGCTTCAAGTGTTGTTCCAAGTGAGGGAGTGAGTTCACCATGATTGGGATGGGATTTCATGCCTCGGCCGAACTTGCTGGCAAGGTAGGGAGTTCCCTCAGACTGGAATTGGAATCTGTTCCTCGGCCCCACTTGCTGGTCCCAGCCCAGGAATCCGTGGACTGGTCCCCAGCTGAGCACGAGAGTTACTCCAAACTGGGAAAGGATTCTGTGCCTTGGCCCGACTCCCTGGTTCTGACTCGCTGGTCCCAAACCACTGGTCCCAGTGGGCAACCATGGGCTGGTCCCCAGGTGAGGAAAGGAGCCCCTCCAGACTGGGATGATATTCCGTGCCTTGGCCTGACTTGCTGGTCCGGGCAGGAAACCACGGGTTCTACATCAGGTTTGATTATTAACTGCTTTCACATCCTACAACGTCTTCAAAGTTGTGTTTTTATAAAAATAGCTATATAATGTTATGCTTAATTGTATAGTCCCTGATGATGTGGACAATTCTATTGAAAATAACAAGAGAAAGCATAGTAAGTACTGTATATCACCTAATATTGTGGTCTTATATGTCTCTTTCATATCATGATTTTCTAGGAGTTTGTTTTGTTGTCTTATTTTGATCTGTTTTCCCCCATAACACAGAAAGGATAGATATCCACATAGAGATTCACACATCGGAAGAATTTCTAACCTATTTATTTGAACAAATAATATAATGCATAATGTAATGAACAGATACTCTGAAGAAGAAGTGACACTAAAAAACCCAATGCTAATTCTGTAGCATTATGATATAAAATTGAGCAATACTATTATGCACTGTTCAGAGTGATATTAGTCTAGTCTCTTATTTTTTTGGGAATTGTAATTTTAACACGGCATAGTTTTAATCTTTTGATGCACGTGCTTCATTTTCTCTTTCATAAATGATGTTTCTGAAGTTGAGGCAATATTTGGCATTAAGATATACATTTGTAGATGCTTGGAGTATGTGTTTTTGACAAAGTTGTGTTCTTTTCACATAACTTGTACATTAATGAATGTTATGTTTTCCAAGTTGTGACAAGACATCTGCTGATTTCCTAACATCACTGGATATTATACCATGTAAATTATGTTGCCTGATTTTGTTTCTCAGTGGAGCCAATATTTGTTATTTAAGTAAACCTTTGTTTTTCTAACCATCAGAATTTTACTTGTTATGTTTATATTACATCTTTTTTTGCTAGTAAGGTTTCCCCACATGTACCAAATGTAAACCATACTACTGTGAATTTCTGACTGTGCCATACTGACAGAATCATAACTTGTCTCCAATAGCACATCACAATAGATATATCAATATCTCCAGAAATTATAAAGTTTGGCATGATTTATGAGTAACCAAACTTTGAAATCAATTTTTCTTAAATATGGAATTGTTTGGGGGGAAAATGTTGTTATTGGATGTATTGTGCAAATGCCTTTATTTTATTCCTTGATGCTGTGAATGCATTATATATTTTGTAATTATTACTGTTTTTTCCTAAAATACTGTATTAATGGCATGAAGGGAAACCTAAATTTTGAGCTGTCAGCACAGTAAAAAGTAAATTTGCTAAATTAAGATTCAGATTGTGTTCTGTTTTACTGAATTGTGAATTTATACAATGGCATATCACTTTATTTATAAGGACCAGTGCATGATGTTTGTGGTGTGTACTTATCTTTAAACACATACACTGGGCCATGAGTCCCAGTTGGTTTCCTGTGGCCTGTGGTTTTCACTTCCATTTTAACGTTCATGTAATTTGTAACGTGTTTAATGCCATGTTGTTGAATACAAACTCTGCTTAGGAATTATGTTGTTAAAAACTGTGGTGTTATGAAAACACAAGTGAACATTGCATTAAATACCCCTGATCCAGTGAAGATAGCTTGCCCAAGTCTCAATTATCCTTGGGAAAATAAATTACTCACCTCTTATGTAATCACCACTAAAACTATATCTATTTTGTACCTGAAGAACCTGATATACTTCACAAAGTAAAAGACACTGTGAAGTACATTGTCAGCCTCTATGCACTACAGCATGTGGCCAGATCCCCTGCAGCATATTTCTGCTTACCATCAATGGGAATATTTGGAGTTTGTATTACAGCTAATAATAGACTACTGAATCTATAAGACATATATCCTGAGTACATGCACTTTCTCATTTTACCATGAAAGTAAATCTTGCTGGTTCCGTTGATGCATGCTTGTAATCCTAGCACCTCGGCGGGCTTAAATTAGTGGAAGAGGAAGTTGAGTCTAATATACACAATTAGAGTGAACTTGTCTCAAAATATATCTTCAAGTTCTGCAGATGTTGCTTAATGCTTTAGATCTCCTCCCTTTCTTCCCCAGCAACAACATTTTTTAATACTCACAATTGCAGATCAGTAGTTGTCCTTTTATCAGTTGGCCATGTAACAGTTATTCCAGAGAATCACTTGTGAAACACATTTGTTTTTGCAGTGACCATCCTGAGCATCATTTGGGCAGTTGTCAATTTAACCCATTCATTCTTGTATTGAATACAGTAGAATTGTCACTTTTATATTCCTTGTTATTTTATAAAAACTAACAAAAAGTATGCAATTTTTGATCATTTTGTATTTAAATAATTGCATTGGTAAGGAGTTACCTATAAAGATTAGGCTAAAGATGATTTCTTTAGTTCAAGCATCAGGAGAGAATGAGATGGGATGATAATGGCTTTGAAGCTGACTTTGGGAGGCAATTGCTAGATGGTTTAGCAGAGTGTGAAACAGTTGTTTTTATGCCTGCATTTGAAGTTTAAGGAAACAAGTACATTGAGGTCAAGAATATAAATGTACGATAGGGTAAAAGAATCACTGCTGCAAATTGTGATTTTTCTTTTACTCAGGAAGTGTACTTTTTTTGGTAATTTGTGCAGCAGTCTCAAATATGCCTTTATTGGAGTAAAACAGTGAAACATGAAAGAGCCAGACATTCCATGTTCTGAATGTAGAGGTGTTAAAAAACATTTTTTAAAATACTATTGCTGCTCTTTTGTGTAGAAAATAAGATAGGGGAACGAAACAAGAAGAAGGACTTTGTAAGATTTTAACCCTCCTGCATAAACATAGAAGCCACAAAAAAATCAAACAAAATGATGAAATAAACTACAGAATGAGAGAAATTTTACCTGTTACTCTCTGATAGCTAACATGTAAAACCAATAGGAACGTGAAAGGAACACACATTTTTCAGAATATGTACAACTGGCCAAGAAATACCTGAAGACCTATTGAGCATTTTTGCACAGTAGAGAAATTCAAATAGGGACAGCATCTCATTGCAGAGAAAACAAATCCCCACAAGATCTAAGGAACGTACATGAGACTGCGGGAGTAAAGAAACTATTTAAACTTGTTGGTGGAAATGTAGGTAAGTAGTTCAACTACTACTGAAGTCAGTTTTTAAAGTATTCAAATGACTAAAATTAGTAATTCTCATTAGTGCAATGCTTCCTTTAGTGGGTCTATTCCTCAAAGAGTTAAGGACATATTGCAGTGATGCATGCAGATTCCTGTTACTGCAGCAATAGTCATTTTTCTGTGGAGAGCAGCAGCAAGCACTGCTCCATCACCACCAAATATCAATGATGAACAATAAATACTCACCAGGGTACTCCATTTGGTTTATGGTGTGATATTTTATTGTGAAATGGGCTGTATCTTAGGTTTTCCTAGTAGACTATAGGTCAGTATAAACATGATAGTCATGCTAATGTCACAAGGCAATCACTAGTACACTATTATGTTCATTAGATTTGATACATTTATCTTTTTGAGTAAGCATGTTGCTATGAAGTTCAGGCTGGCTTTGAGATCACTTTATAAACCTGAGTGGTCTCTACATCTGCCTCCCCATGCCAGCTGCACTTGGAGAACTGCTGAGCTTCCAACGAGTGGGCGGGCCCATGCTATGCCCAGAGCCCAGCCTGTTTGGGATTCCCCCACCTAGCCATCGGTGTGCAGAGGAGGGGCTGGGCGGATTTGGGGGGCTGCATCAGCCTCCCCTTGTGTCTGGAGGACTGTGGATATCTCAGCAAGCAGGGGAGGATTGCAGGTTCCAGAGGCCCTGCAGCCTGTGGTGAGTGCTCAGCACACTCTGCCCAAAGCCCAGACTATTCAGGTCCCTCCAGGCTTCCTGGTGCAGTGAAGTGGAGAGGTGGGTTTGAGGTGTCTACATCTGCCTCCACATCCCGGCTGCGATTGGAGAGCTGTGGAGCTTCCAACGGGCAGGTGGGCGCACAGTGTCCCTGAGGCCCAGCTTATCTGGAACTGCAGAGTTCTGAACAGGCACAGGAGGGCCATTGGTTCTACAGGCCTAGTGGGTTGGGGTAACATGGTGCCAGAGTCTCAGTAGCTGCAAACATGGAAGGGGATTTCCAACAGATCCTGAGGAAGCTTTCAAATAACACTTGAAACACAGAAATATAGGAAAATAACAAAACAAAAGTCTAAAATACAACCTCAAACCTCCAGCCCATCTCAAGAAACCCTAGGAGCAATGTATATAGAAGAAAATATATGCCATTCACCTCAAATATTGGACACAAGAGCTACTGAAATTAACAAGCAACTCCAGGAAGCTTTAAAGAAATTCAAACTCGAAATAATCTCCCAGGTAAAAGAAGAAATGATAAAAGAAATGAAAGAGATTCTGAATATATCTAAAGAAAACACAGATAAAAAATTGGAGGAACTAAACAAAAAGATAGAATCCATAGACAAGCAATATAAGAAACAAACAGAATACATAATGCAGATGCACAGAGATATACAGGAAATGAAAAACTCCACTCAAAGTTGTAAAAACTACCTTAATGAAAGCGAAGATAGAATTTCAGACCTTGAAAACAGGATTGCAGCTAGTGAGCAGGAAAGGAAAGATCTTTTAAAAATAACAAGGAATCAGGAAACAACAATTCAACAACTGCAATTCGATGCAAAGAAAAATAACATAAGAATGATAGGGATTAATGAAAAAGCAGGAGACCACATAAAGTATGTCAAGAAGATATTTAGAGAAGTAATAGCTGAAAATTTCCCAAGCATGAGATCAGCAACTGACATCAGGATCAGTGAAGCATATAGAACTCCAAATAGTCATAACCAAAATAAAACTACACCCACACATATAATAATCACCATCCCAGAAATCCAACACAAGAATAGTGTAGGGAGCGGCTTTGAATAGCTGCTGCTGCCCTGCCCCTCCTGCCTGAGGGCATTTTGTGTGTCAGCCTACATTTCCCATGATCCTCATGTCCACCTACATTACCCATAATCCCCTCCTGCTTACGTCATATATCCAGATGTGATGGTGACCTATCAGATAACACTCTGTGCCCTCTTCCTGCCTTTGGCCCGCCCCCCACCCTATATAAGTTGTAGCCATTTTAAAAATAAACGAGACTCGATTGGAATCTCATCCTATCTCCATCTCTCTTTTCTCTTGCCCTGCCCCCATCCCCGATCCCCTCTCCAGGTGAGACCCACGGATTGGTCCGCAGGCCAGATCAAGTGGCGACCACGAAGGGACCCCACCTGGCACGAGGGATAACGACGCGGGACCGTTCACAGGAGTAAAGCACTGGCCAGCGTGACTGATTCAAGGACTTCGTTCCTGTGATCCGTGCAGACGGCCACCTTATGTCTCACCTGAATCACGGTAGGTGAATGGCATTAGCATGGGCAAGCACTCAGTGAGCACGAATTGTTCGTGACTGGCCTCAGGGAGGCACTCAAGACTAGAGAGATTAAGGTTATGAGATAAAGATTTGATAAAGTAGTTTCAGTTTATACATTCAGTGTGTCCATGGTTCCCTCTAGAGGGTACCATTAATTTAAACAGGTGGAATAGAGTAGGAGATGCTCTTAAGGACTATTATGAAGTTTTTGGTCCAAAAAAGGTTCCTGTAACTGCTTTTTCATATTGGATTTTAATCTCTGAGCTGCTGATACAACCTCACGCAGATCCCAGGTCGCAGAGACGCTGGCCCAGGGTGAGGCTGCATTATCTGCCTTCTGCAATTGTACTCCACCCAGCTTATCTAAGGCACCCAGCCCTCCTGGCTCTGTGGTCCTTGATATCCTGGAGCCTTTTCAAGATGGCGACATGCCGCCACTCCCTTTGTCTGGAGGCCACGAGGGTACTCAAAATGGCGTGCACCGCCCCAGTACTCAAAATGGCACCGCCTCCATACTGACTCTGGTGCTGAAAAAAAAATGGGGGCTGGGGATTTAGCTCAGTGGCACAAGTGCTTGCCTGACAAGCACAAGGTTGTGAGTTTGATTCCCCGGTATAATAAAAGTAAAATACAAAGCCTGGTACTGTTTAAAAAAAAATAGGGGCTGGGGATTTAGCTCAGTGGCATAAGTGCCTGCCTTGGAAGCAGGCAGTCATGAGTTCGATCACTGGTGCCAATAAAAAAAAAAAAAAACGGCGATTAGATGATGCAGAAGAAATTCATTCTAAAACCAAGTCAAGAAAACAACTGGGTAGGAT